TGTGGGGGGGGGGGGCAGGCAATGAATGAGGTCAAGGAGTTTCAGCCTGTATACTCCTAGAGGCTGGGAAGCAACTCCACTAACCAACCAGTTAAAATATTTTTATAGGCTGGAGTCTAACGTCAGGACTGTCATTTACACCATTATCTTCCTCGTACCCTTTCGTAGTTCCTTTTCAAGTACATTTTCTGTGATTATAAGTACAGAACCCTGTAGCTTTTAGGAGTGGCAGCAGCAGATTGATTCCAGCTCTGAGCACAAGGTTATGCACTTTAGACGCAGAAATGCAGGGGCAGCGTAAAGCGTGTAACTGATAGACATTTTCACTCAGGCTTTTTCATATTCTGTGAATGCAACTGTACTGAACAGAAACATACACAAGCTGGATCTGCATCAAAGACATATGTATGAAACCAGAAATTAATATTTTGTCTTCTTGTTTTTCTACTGAACTTCCAGCCCTTCCCAGTTTGCTGAAATGCCTTACTGAACGTACAAGTATGCCCACCATCCTTCACAGGCCGTAATGCAGGGCTTTCTTGCCATTATGATGATGATGGTGATGATGGATGTATGCCCTGCCTGTGTTTGCACTGGAAGTAAAGAGCACACGCAAAACCAAATGCTCACGTTTGGCAGGAAGGCAGATTATGCTGGAGACACTTCTCTGCAACTTCCCCGTTGTAAATTCTCCCAGGATTGTTTTATTCTGTCGTGGTGCTCCAAGACCTCTGTCATTTTCTTAGGCTGATTTGCTGGATTGCCCAGGTTGTATCATTTCTCACAGCGTATTTTGTGAGTGAACATATTTGCGGTACATTCTTCAAGATACATTCTTCATTTTGAGATTCAGAGGGTTTGGGGTTTTTTTTCCAATCATTCTTTAACCTTCACGACTCCCACACAGTCGTTTTATACACACTTGCAAATTTCCCAGCAGAGGAATACAACTCCACTGGAGCACACTGTGTATGTTTAAGCACGGTAAAGAAAACATGAGGAGCTACTGGAAAAGAGTCCAGAGGAGGGCTATGAGGATGATGAGGGGCCCGGAGCATCTCTCCTATGAGGAAAGGCTGAAGGAGCTGGGCTTGTTTAGCCTGGAGAAGGCTGAGTGGGGACCTTATAAACGCTTACAAATATCTTAAGGGTGGGTGTCAGGAGGATGGGGCCAGACTCTTTCCAGTGGTGCCCAGTGACAGGAAAAGGGGCAATGGGCACAAACTGAAGCACAGGAAGTTCCATCTGAACATGAGGAAGAACTTCTTCACTCTGAGGGTGACGGAGCACTGGAACAGGCTGCCCAGGGAGGTTGTGGAGTCTCGTTCTCTGGAGATATTCAAGACCCGCCTGGACAAGATCCTGTGCAGCCTACTGTAGGTGACCCTGCTTTGGCAGGGGGGTTGGACTAGATGACCCACAGAGGTCCCTTCC